CACGAACTCCACCCAGTCGGCTTCGGTCAGTGCGTGGGGCCACCAGCGGCTGGCCGTGAGCCAGCCATCGACCCATTGCTGCGCTTCATAGCCTTCCACGCCCTGCACGAGGCGCAGGCCATCTGCGGGTTTCGTGGCGGCAAAGTTTTCGGGCAGGACCTGGAAACGACTCGCGTCGGCGCCAGCCGTCTGCAGATCGCGCTCGAGCGCGGCGGCATCCCAGGCAATGGCCAGGCCGTGATCGCCGGCCAACGCGAGCCGGGCATCGGTGCGCTCGAAGGGCCGCCAGCCCTCGACCTGCAGCCGCAGCGCCGCGAGCCGCTCGGGGGCCGGCAGCCCCTGCAACCGGAACCAGCGCAGGCGGCAACGGCTGCGGGCGACGATCAGCGGTGCTCGCGACCAGGCCGACGCCTGCAGCGCACCACGAAAGCCATCAAGGCACCACGCTGCTGGCGGCGCCGCTGACGGTCGGGGAAAGGGGAAACGCGAGAGCGCGGGGAGCTTCATCAGAGAGGTTGAGCCGCTTCGTGCTGTGCTGTTCGGTGATGACCCACGGGCCGAGCTCCCCTGCGGGCGTGAGCCGTAGATTGTACTCAAGGGCCCTGGGCAGACCGGGCGCCCAGAGCGTGACGCGGGCGTCGTTGCCGGGGAACAAGATGTAATCGTCTTCGTCCAGTGGCATCGCGAAGATTTGCCGCAACTGGCGCAGGTCCAGCAGTTGGTCGCGGGCACGCAGCAACAGCACCTGGTCGATCTGGGAACGCGCCAGCAGCGGGAACATCGCTCGCAGGGTCGCGGGTGGCGCGGTGGCTGGGTTGAACAGATGACCCACGTCAGGCGTGAGCAGCGCGGTCAGGCGCGCGAGGCGCTCCGGCTCATCGCGCCACAACGGCATGGTCTCCAGCTCGCGCAGGCTCACGAGCCAGTCGTTGCGCGGCGCCGGCAGGCCCAGAGCCCGATACTCGCCGCGCTCGGCGCCATTGAGCCGCTTCAGGTTGTCGGTGTCGATGTAGTCGTCGAGCACATCGATCATGGCCTGCGCGCGCGCCAGCGGCACCCCATCCTGCACCAGCAGGGTCTGAAGCACCGGCCGCGGGACGCCGTTGGCCGAGAACAGACCACGGAAGTCCTGAACGCGCACGAGGGTGCCGTCGGCGGACTGGTGAAGGGCGCCGTCCATGCGCAACACCCCGGTGCCGTCGCCCCGGCCCGCGGGCAGCAAGGGCCGGGTGGCGGTCCAGTAGATGGTCTGCGCGAGCGCGCTGGACACGGCGGCATTGCCGGCGGCGTACTGCTGGAAGTCCAGCGCATTGCGCCGCAGTTCGTCATTGCGTTGCGCGAAGCGCTGGACGACCAATGCCATCACTGCCAGCGCGCCGAGCACCATCAACAGCACGTAGCCGGATTGCTGCCGACGCGCGCTCATTGGTTCTCCCACTGGACCAGGCGACCGCGACCGGGAGCCGTCGTGCTGATCTCGGTGACCATGGGGCCACCGACGTCCGCGCCGAGGTCGATCCAGACCGCCTGCGGAAGCCGCGGCATCGCAAGCAGGGCAGCGCGGCGGATATTCGAATCGTTCACCGCGGCGCTCAGCTCAGCCGCCGTGTTGGGGATCGGCCAGACATCCGACCAGGCACCACTCGGGCTGAGGTAACGGAACCGGGCCTCGGTGCCCTGCCAGCTCAGCAACTCGACAGGGACAGGCTCGTCGACACGTGCCTCGCCATCGGGCGCAGGCACGAGCAACAAGCGCTGGCGACCGCCTCGCGCGTCGGATTCGATCTTCAGCTGCACCGGCCGCCCGGCAAGCCCCTGCAGGGCCACACTCTCACTGCTGACCAATCGGAGGTTCAGCGCATCGCCCACGAACTGCCGTGGCGCGCCAACCTGCTCCTCGAGCGACGCGCGGATCAGGCTGCGCACCCATTCACGGCGCAC